GTCAGTGGCATCACATTTGTCTGACATGGGAGTTCAAGACTGGCCAGTATCACCTATTCATCGATGGAGTCATTAAGACACATGGCAATAAAACTCTTGGTCGTCCTATTGGCAAAGGTAAGATTTATTAAAATCTACAGTATGGAAGCTCGTTAATCCCTAAAATACTAAAAGTGTATATACCGCGCTCTAACAGCTTCAATAGAGATGTGCACTTCCCTGTATGGCGTCATGTCAATAGCCAATGTGCAGCAATTACGCCATTTTGTGCAGCAAAGCATGATGGTAGTTGTAGTCATCGCACTATTTTTATGTCCGCTACAACAGCCCTCCTAAACAGTTTTTGCTTTTTCTAAGCTAAAATAGTAGTAATTTTGTGCCGTTTCTAAAAATAAAATGTATTTTGAAGAGAACAACATGAATACCATGTTTCACAATAGCCAATCTGCAGCGACGCCATTTTGTGCAGCAAAGCATGATGGCAGTTGTAGTCACCGCACTTTTTTATGTCCGCTTACAGTCTTTGCTTTTTAAGCTAAAATAGTAGTATTTGTGTGCCTTTTCTAAAAAGAAAATGTAAAACGGCTTTTAAGGAGAGATATTTAAAGGGTCCATGAAAAGTGCGAGTACTACAACTACCATCATGCTTTGCTGCATAYAATGGCGTCGCTGCTGATTGGCTATTATGCAGCATAGTATTCATGTTGTTCTCTTCAAAATGGCGATGGTCTATATCATCGATCACGAGACGTTATATACACCTATTTYAAAAWCCCTTGTCGTCACCAGGACACCACAGGCAGAGTCTTGAGACTGCAAAGAATCTCGGGGTTTCGATGCATAACTAATATAATCAAAAYATATTTGCGTATGTGGTTTGAAATCAATGGRGGCAAACAACCCTACTGCCAGTCTCGCCATGAGGCATTTTCCTTGAAAAACGTAAAACGTTTTTAAACCGTCAAGAGCTTTAATGCAGTACTCGCTACATAAGACCGATAATTTTCTGAAAGTGAAAATATATTATATATGGCAATCCCGAGATTCTTTGCAGGCTCAAGACTATGGACTATATTCWGCCGACGACAATGTYWTTGAAAAAGGTGTACACAAAAAAGCCGTTCCCATGTTGCTAATGCTATCTTTTTAGGTATGATAATAATCGGCAATGACCAAGACAGCTATAATGGAGGCTTCCAGCTATCAGACAGTTACCAAGGCAACATAACAAGTATTAATATCTGGAATAGTACCTTTACACCACAACAAGTGTCAGTCCTGGCCAAGTCATGTTCCAAGCGTGAAGGCAATGTMGTCGGTTGGTCGCAGCTTAAGGTTAATCGGGTKGGAAATGTTGGGYTGAKTTGCTCGACAGCATGTGTTTGAAGMACTAAGAAMAAACACGAGAATTTAAGACACAGGAAAACYAATATCTAAAWTAGCACTGTATAAGGCTTTGTGAGGCCTTATGTACCAGGKTGCGAAGCAGCGCGGTAATAAGGCTTTGTATGGGAAATAAGTATTAATAACATCGTGAAAAATAAAGAAAATGAAAAACATCTTTAGTGGATTGTTTATTGTGATTTTGTTTATCGCTGGCAGCGGTTTCAGTGTGATTGGATGGTATTTTGTCAGCCCATAATAAAGAAAACTCAGCTAAAATACATGCATTCAGCCTGAGATTAACAAAATAGCACTAAACAATCAACTAAGGTTATAATTTAATCTCTATATTTGACTTTTTCATGTAGTCRTAGGGCAAAGAATAATCGATTGCCTTATTTTTTTAGAGATTGGTCTTCCTGTGTTTAAGATAGAATGAAAAAAAGAGGCAAATGGACAATGYATRACAATAAGWAACAGTAGTCCTTTGATTGRATTTAGTTAATCGCACACATSGTAAAAAACKTTTCTTTTCTGCTTTTTACTTAATTATCTTAGGCAATGGTTCTACGCTTCTACAGCCATTTATAAGGGAAGGTACGTTTATTATTGGGGGAGGGCTGGAGTTTTCAGAGTAACTTTTCCATAAGGATGTGTGACCCCCCCCAGTAATTCTAAAAAAAAACTTTTGACCCTCCCCTCAAAAGTTCCAAATATACTGATAACCCTCCCCCCCCCACCCCCCACACACAAGTATCAGGCTATACCAAAGTTTGCAAAAAAAGCACGCTATTCAGTTCACACTAATGAGATGGGCAAAGCAAGCCATCTAAAGGTTTGATGAAAAAAGAGTTCACACAGATCGGTGCTTAGTTTTCCCATATTTTTGCAGCATTTCCAATAATCTTCTTGTTGTCGATACTGATCAAAGCGAAAAGTCATCCTGTTTTTCTTTTTCCTCAAAATGCTTGAAAGTAATTTGATTTTTATCTTTCGCAATCGATTTCCCGGACGTGCAAACATGTAGTAGAAGCTATGACAAAATTTGACGGAATCACTATGCTTTGATTTCGCTCTCCTGAGGTTTTTGTCATGTGATTACCAATTTTGAAGATAATTGTTTGAGGCCAAATTTCGACGTTTCAACAAATAATTTGCTAGCTTATTTTACTCAGAATATTGGTTTAATTTGCTGGTAGATGGACGTAAGAAGTACGCAAGTACGCCATTGTGAAGGAAACGTGCGTACTCACTGGAACCCTATGTCGATCCATGGAAAATCAACTCGATACCCGTGTAACATTTTTTCTTATTAGCTAAAACCTAAAAACTAGATGACCCTCCCATAGCTAGATAAGCTTTTGAGTGAAGATTTGACCCTCCCCTAAAGCTTAAAAAAATGATATATGATCATCACCTCTTCTCCACTCCAGCCCTCCCCCCCTCCCCCTCAATAATAAACGTACCTTCCCTAATAAGATATTTAATTTTTCTTTGAGCTAAATGGCTGAGTACCACAAACACGACTTTTGCTCATGCATTAAACCAAAATTGAAAAGCAATTAAAATTCTTTGAATTAATAATTATCAATTAATAATAGTCGCTCTAATATCTACATGTAAGCACTCCCTTAAACGTAAAAAGGATAATGTCGACAAAATAATTAAGTGTAAATTATCTTTAATAATGCAYATTCGACGACCCCTCGGGTGATAAAATCAAKGAAGTACGTCCAAAAGACTTAACTTTCTYATCCAATATAATCAATATACAAAATTTGTTTAGATTTGATGACCGATGAGGTCAACCRAAWCAAAACTRCTTGAAGTAATTATACGTGTATTATCGTCACTATGGCAACGATTCATAACAATAGAAACAGTTTTAGGGAACACAAAAGGCAGTTAAAYGCCTAAATGATTTTGTATAAAAATAATCTCCATAGTATTATCCCTAATAAAATTTATAGTTTATGAGCTAGTAAATTGTAGAATTGAGTCAGGCTRTAAATTATAACTTGTAAATTAGTTAAATATTAGCTGGTTTTCATGGSATCATAAAGTCAACACTGTGACCGTTATTAGACCAAGATTATGCTTAAGTAGATAACGTTTTCGCAGTACATGTATTGTAAAGTTTTCAAACTCGTCAAACGTGTATTAAAGGTAGCGTATACTGTAAAAGTATCTAATTCTATTATATTCTTTGTTTCGATTTCGTCTATTTACCTAAATGCCTTCACTCAAAGTTACTTATGTAAGTAACTGCTTTGATTGATGTCAAGTATCAGTGATTGGTTTGTTTGACGTAGTGYATAGACAAAAGCACACTTAATACCTTTTCAAATCAAAATGCATTGGTTTGTGTGACTRTGAATCCGTTGTAACAACAAAAGAGCCAGCAGAATAACACGCGTTAAACAACGAAACCACGATACTTCTTACAGTTATGGACCTAAAACGAGAGTTCTGTTCTTGCCATGTTTGCTAAGGCAAGAGAAGCCCCTTCTGTCGTCTCCACAAGAGTTTTACGAACTCATAGACTCAATGAAGTCGAAAACTTTCGTCTCCATGGAAAAATACAGACAATTGATAACGAAATTCAAAGTAAYTACTCCCAAATATCAGACGAAATCGATGGTGTTCGGAAGAACTTAAATCGTATCAAGAAAATTAAGAATAATCTAAGTGTAAGTGTTGAAAGAAGGAAGCTACTTCGTGAAAGAGGCGTCTTTGTCATCCCTTCTCCTGGACTTGACGAAGACGAAGGAGTTACTTTACGTAGAGCTGATGGAAAGAAGGTYGTCATACGTGGAAAGGAATGCTACGATGGCGAAGTAATTCGACGATGTATAGATATTAATTTTGACTTTTCAAAACAATCAAATACAGATACAAACCAGGACGACAATGATGAAGAAGACAGCGACCAAGTCAACTTYGATGATCAACTTCAGGACAAGAGAAGAGTWTTTCATTATCGAATTATTGTCCCCCCTCTGCATCCAGGTAGTCGGAGAAACTTTAAAGATTACGAAGAAGAAGAACAAGATGTAGCTTTCGACTTAGAACTTCCTCCATCGGACGATTATATGAATAGTTTAAGAAGTTCRCCTTTCCGTATAAAGACACCAACTTCRCATACTCGACGGGACAGCAAACAAAGCCGTCGAAAGATTAAGAGGCTGAACGACGTCAATAAAGAGAGCAAAAGTGTAGCAATCGAGACWCCTCAACAAGACGAAAATACTGACGAATCTCTTGCAGTTGTGATGGAAAGTTTGTCAACTAACACTTCGCCGCAAAGAGAGAATGGTGAAAACTCTAGCAAACATTTGCGCCCAAAAACAGCAGAGGAGGCGATTCCAAGTCGTTTAAATTCACGAAGATTTTCGTCTGGATCTGTTAAATCCCGTCYTWGTTTATCTAGTAATCAAAGTACAGATATCAGAACTAGTTTAAAGACAGATGAGACAAACACAGAGGAACTACACTCACCCTCTGGTGTTCAATCTAAAGTAACAAATGAAGGTTTGAYACCAAAACCTGAACATAAATTACTKGACAGAAGACCTTCAGACGAAAATGTTAAAATACACATAACTAAACCAATTCCAGACACAAAAGAAGAGAAACCGAGTAAAAAGGAACAAGAAGAGGGTGTTAATCAAGAAGTTGAGGACTCAAAGGATGATGAAAATGATGAATTTCTATTAACAGATGACATCAGTTGGACTGAACAGATCGGAAGAACTACCCTTCTTTCAAACAATGACACCATCCGCCATAGAAAACATTCAATACGAAAAAGCCATTCGCGAAGTTTTACGGCTAATTTAAAAACAATTGAAGACGGTCAAAGTGTGATGAGTTATTCCTCAAAGTTTTCCTCAAGAGGACGAACGGAATCTTTCAATTCAAATGCAAACAGCACAATTGCGGCAAAAGGACGTCGAAAATCGGCTGTTACATTTTCAGATTCGGAGCGCAAACATCGCCTACTGAATGATGAAATTATATACGACGCGCGACCTGATAAAGCGCTAAGCAAGGGATACAGCACCATGCAAATGACGATCAGAGGAAAACAAGTACGCATATGTGTGCCTAAGTTTTCTAAAGACGATGTGATTGACAGAGCACGAGCAAAAACTGCTGCCCAGATGGCTGATGACAGGACGAGGGGAAATAACAGCCCGACAAAACTTCAAAAACTAATCAAACAACATTGATATGGAGCTTGCGACACGTTGTCAAATGTGCAGTCTTTGTTCTACTTACAATTAGAAGAAAATTACCAGAGAAGCCAAAAAACAAGTTTTTTTGGAAGGCAAACTGACSAGCTTGGAATTTCAAACAATTCCGAATTGAAAATGATGAAATTGCAAAACCATAGTGTCCGATGAAAAAATATTGTTTGAAGTGGATAACCAAATCCTATACTGTAATAAATTTATCATTTTTTTATCAAATTATTTATTTATTTCAAAACAACATCATTTTTTTTTTCATTTTTTTATGAAATCATTTTATGGTGTAAATTAATGCGCAAGGTAGTGATATATGTCGGAGAGGGCGGTAACATGCATGTTAAATTAATGTGGCTACAAACAGTCGCTGAAAAATAWTTGATGCCCCTTAGCCAATCAAAAGCGAGAACAAAACTGGAATACAAATCAAAAGATTAATATTCTATAAGYTATAAATCAAATAGACCAATAAATTTTGCCCAAAGATACTAAATACTTTGTTATCATTGCCGTGTAAATAGTCTGTCTAATCTGAATATCTTAATTTATCCGATACACTTTGTGTCAAATATTTTCAAGATTAAGAGATTAACAACAAATAAAGGAAAGCTCTTAGCACATTTATCGTTATTATAATTCACACACGTACGTTCTGGTGGTCGAACAGAATAGAGTCTGCAAAACCAATCAGAAAACATCTTTCGGCAAGAGATCATTTAAACAAAAGAAACAATCGAAAAAGGCTCATGAATGCAGGTTGTCTCAGGTTTAATGTATGAAACTGCGAAGAACCAATATTAGACATACCAGCTTTAACATCAACTTCCGTCTACTGAACAAGCCATTTCTACGATCTAATAAAAACGGATGAATACTGTTAGTTACAGTTTCTTTCGTGTTTGTAATATGAGCATTGGTTGTATTGATTAGTCTATAGTCCYCCATAGGGCGTTTCTTAGCASTTTTCATTGCCTAGTGGTATAGATTCGGTAAAAACATCTTCTGTCCATGCTGCCACATGGCGTTGTTTGCACTGAAGCTAGACCACAATGCAATAGGATTTTATTATTTTATGARGAATTGAAGAGGTTTTAATATAAAACGAAACTAGTTTTCCTAAAAATCCTGGTGTTTTRTTGCGTGAAAGATTAGTAATTTGAGTTTAAACTCTTACACATAATGAAATTTAAAAGATATTTTATAATCCGACATAAAGATATATCGAATACAATATGATTTTGTATTTCGGAAAAGGTCTATGGACTCTTTTATTGCAAGTGTCGCCTTCTTGAAAATGACATTTACCTTAAAGGGGACTTGATCTTAAGCATATTTATCAAGAAAAAAGTGCATAAGTAAATTTTCCAGTCTCCAWTTTTTACAATGCAAATGAAGAGACTCCATCTAAGCAATTGGGCTACGGAATTTCTTCATTGCTTGCGTTACTAGCTTCTATTGGTTGAATAATATGCATCGTCTATTTATGAACTGAAAATAGTATTACTAAGGCATCAAAAGGAATAATATCTATTTATGAAATTATCCCCTCGAGGACCTGAAGTCACTTCATTTGAATCATCGATTTTTCAAACACGCACTTTTAGTTCAAAATAATTTTCTTTTTCTTCAAAAGGAATAATGTCCTATTTCTTGATTTTTCATATAAAATTATCTTCAAGTGGACGAGACGTCACTTCATTTAAATCATCAATTCTTCAAACACTTTTAGTTCAAAATCATTTTCTTTTTTTAGTTTCATTTCAGAAATGCTCTTCAGAATGTTCTTTTTCGGATAAAAATGATTTTCTATGAAGCGTCACATGTACTTTAGTTTGGAGGACTAAGTATAAGACGTCTAGAACGAAGGTTACAGAGATTATCTTACAGAATAATTATCTGTTCTCAAATAAAATCGATACTATTTTTTTCGATTATTGTTTAATTTTCTTACTGAACAACACATATTCAGCTTGTATTCGTGGCGTTCTTGTATAAAGGTGCACAATATCTTCAATACTTTAGAAAATCTTCAAAATKTTAGATCATGTATTTGATGAAGTCTTTCTAMWRGTAGTTCGACCCRTTAACGGCATTTCAGCGTCTCTTAACTCCATAAYACCCACATTGTGGTCGAATTCTTCCTCACTTATCGCAATGACATTGCCATCAAACTCCTCTTTAGTAACGGGCAGACTGGCTGAGCTATTTTCTCGTGATAGTTTTCTTGTTCGTATTTTGTAACCCGTTACTGCGCATCGACACGTCAAAGACGGAAGMGAGGAAGGCGCTGAAAACGATCTCGCTTTCCCAATGACAGTTTCACTTCCACAAGCATTACTCTCCATAAAAACAGAAGTATTTGTTYTTTCTTGACATGAATAAGCAAATCTTCTTCCTACAATTCTTGGCAGTTCCTTGATTTCTTTGAGTTTGGTTAAGTGTTTTTCAAGATCTTTCTTTTCTTGGTGGATTTGATAGCGTCTGTAAGAACGTTCAAGCTCGATAGCTTCGATTTGTCGCTGTAGTTTTACGTTTTCTATCACATTTGATCGGCGAACCTTGGAAACACGGCTAGAGAAACATGACGGTGGTTCTCTGTCGAATATAAACGACATTCCAAGCTAAAATTCTCTGTGTTCACATGATTTTCTTCCCAAACGAGRAAATGTTTTCCTTGTAATCTCGACAATAGGTTTAAGTTGCGAAATTTGATACAAGACAGGTATTTTTGGCACGCAAAGTTCATAAAGGACACGCGAAATCGATACTAAAGTCTTTTATGTCATGCAAAGTGAAAAGTCGGAATTGTTTACGGCTTAAAACGATGAAAATATAAAAATAAAAATAAACATTCAATAAATACAAGATCCCGATTGGTAAACCGCTTTCAAAAAAAACTTATCCTGCTCCAAGTCGCTCGGTTTTTTTTTCACTCTTCGCCACGTTTTTTTAAATTGTTGGCGCAAAGCGCCCTTTAACAAGCCCGTAATGGCCAGCGAAAAAAMATTTCGTTCAGCAACTAAAATTCTCAACAATTTCTTTGCATAGAAAAAAATGGTGGAAACTAACGGTAAACTAGTGTGAGCTGCGTCGGTGTTTCTAAAGAAACAGTTGTGTAAAAAGATAAATTTAACCCAAAAAATAGGGGAAACAAYATACTGGCTGACGTTTCGGACGTTTTAAAAAATYCTTCATCGGAGTTAAACGTCCGAAACGTCAAGAAGTTTTTTCACCTATTTTTACAGTGTTAAATTTATCTTTTTACACAACTGTTTCTTTGCATTGAAACCCTACAGGACTGTTATCATAGTTATTTATTAACAAAGAGATAAACATATAAATGTTTAACAAAACCTTGATGTTTTGAAATTTAACCCAATAAATGTTGATTTGCTTTCTCTTGCTAAAGTAACGTTTTCAAAGTTGAAAGAGATAAACATATAAATGTTTGACAAAACCTTGATGTTTTGAAATTTAACCCAATAAATGTTGATTTGCTTTCTCTTGCTAAAGTAACGTTTTCAAAGGTGAGATAAAAGCCAACCCAGAGTTTGATTGGATGGTTTTGTCTGTTTTCGAGTCCCACACAGCTTGAAAACAAAATAGGTCAGCCCCTGGGTGGAAATGGACCGTTCAATAATTAAAACGCCTTTTCAGTTTAGGAAAAGCATTACATACTAAATATCAACAGCAACAGATTTCAAGAGGTGAAGCCAACAAATAAACCATGCGAAACTGAAGGTACAAAAATCGAACAATAATCTCAAATATACTAGATTTTCGAAACATTATATATTTTTAAACTAAATTTAAGAATATTTTCGGAACATACAAATGATTTTCGGACGAGTAATGAGTTCATAGTTTTAAGAGAGAAATTTTCAAACGGCAGAGGAATCCTTAGTAATCAAATTATTATCGTTGTACTGGTTCCAGAGGCTTAGCTTTTCTTTTTTTCTGCATGCTTTGGACCAGCGAAAAGGCGAAGCATATCGGTTAATCTTTTCTATTTCTTGCCTAATATATTGTTATTGCTTTTAATATTTTGTTTAGTTCTTTCTTAAAGGGCTACTTGGACGAAAATTGCGAAACATTAGAAAAGTCTTGGAAATCAAATAGACCTATCCATTTAGGTATAATAATCATGAAGCAACAGATTTCAAGAAAATATTCATGCAAATCCTTAATAATTTGGGCAAAAAATGTTGGAGTAGATGACGTCATCTACTCCATCCTTTTGTTTTTCCATCTTTTGAATCAAAATTTCTCTGATGTGGGATAATTCCAAGACAAATATTTTCCTGCAATTGTTTTTAATAGATATAAATGAATCACATATTTGTATTGCTTGAAGTTTTGAAATAAGGCCATTTTCATGCAAGTAGCACTTTAAATCAAACAAATTAATTTTCGCTAAAATATATTGCTTGCTTAAACACTTTGCAGTTATGGGTAATAGTCTTCTCTTTCAGACAGTATTAGTCCAAACCTGCTAAAACTCTATAAATTTCATTGTTCATGAGATTCTTGAAAATTGGTGGTTCTTCGTGACTTTAAATATCRTGCCAAGGTTTCTTGATTGCAGTTAATCTTTTATAAAGAGATCAAGTTTTTGTGTAATTCAGTTGAAAAGTCGCGATTCTGACAAATTAAATCAAATAGTTCTTCTATGGAAATCAAGCTGTCATAAGSTGCTTTCGCGAACAATAACTCGTTCAAGAACAAAGAGAATCTCTAAGGTCTTCAATGGTATTGTTAGCTAGACTACTTGAGTAGGGGAGGTAAATTTTCCTTATCAAAGACAATCTTGATTTGACTTACCCTACCCCTTAGAGTTCTAGCTAAATTACGCAATATCTTTTGATGGCCTGGAACTGCTTTGTGCCAACAGAATACCGCATCCCGCCATATAGATTACTAACCGACTACACCTGCATCCTATGCCAGACGAAAACTATACCTTCCCAGACAAAATGACTGTGAAATTGTGATACCCTAACCGAGACCTAAAGGAGTGCCCCCCATCAGGCCCCATGTACCAAGTTCAAGTCGATAGTGCACTAAACTTAAGTATTTTCTTCCTTAGCAASARTTGAAATGGCAATTGTTTCCCTRCAYTTGTTTGCCTTACTCCTATTGTTTAAAATGTCTACTGCTGAAGAAGGCACYTGCTCACCCTCTTCATACTCCCAAAGTGGTTTCCAATTACAAGGCCATGTAATCAAGAAGATCTCAACAACATCCGCAAGTGCCTGTATGCAAGAATGCGAATTACACAACCAATGTTACAGCATCAATTACCACAATGGCCACAAACGTTGTGAGCTTAACGACGCAAATCACTTGACAAACCCCAAAAGTTTGACCTTCTCGCAGGGATATGATTACAAAACCAACCCAACTCGCTCTCCTTCAAATTGCAGCATCACATACTGCAGCCGTAAAACTGACAAGTGTTTGATTGACAGAAATGGGCGGGACTACAAATGTCTGTCTTGCAAAGGTAAAGCGGTGTTTACACGAGCAATTTTTCYTTGACAATTTTTTCCTTGAAAATGAWAAATTGCTCGTGTAAATGGGGGTAAAATTGACAATTTTTCCTTGTCAAGGAAAAAATTCAAAGAAGGAAATTTGCTCGCRTAAATGGACARCAAGGAAAATGTGGCAAAGAAGAATTGTCAGGAAAACTTGTTACACATTCACACGAGCAAGCTTTCCTTGTCAAGGAGAACTTGTTCTTCGTTTACACTAGCAAAGAAACATTGTCAAGGAAGAATTGTCGAGGAAAACGTATTGACCATTTACACGGGGAATTTTTCCTTGTCAATTAAAAATTGCTCGTGTAAACGCCGCTTAGGGTTGCTGGTGGTGCCGTACTGGCAGTTACAATTATATTTTAGTTGTGGGCAGTTGACAATCATGAATATCGGCAGTGTTCCACTYATTTACAGCATTTACAAAGAAATGTGCTACTATTAATTCTCTTTAATGGAGTTTATTGTGTTTTGGTTTTCTTTATATCCCCTCTTTTTCCAACAGATGACGGAGGTCAAGAAGTCATGACATTTCCCCAAGAAAACGTTCAAAACAAAGTTCTYATTGAGCACTGGTTCGAGTCATTGAGCGCCTTTACCGTATGCTCATGGACCCAACCAACTTCAAAAACCTTCCACACTGTCTTCAGCTATGCCACCACAAGCCATCACAACGAAATATTTATATACATTCAAAAGACTTCGTCTGGTACATTTTTGGCTTTTTCCTTTAAAACGGCATATGTTACCGGGTAAGCAAACATTAGAAGATAAGGTTTGAAAGAAAGAAAATCGAAAGAGTATCTTTTGAACCTCAAAGAACCTACCATCTTGACTCTTTTAGCAATACAATGATGCAATTTGCGTAAACAGATATGACGTCATAATTTGAGTTTAAGGACCACTGGTTTCAATAGCATAAAGCATTAGTATTTACAGACGTTTCATTTCACGGATTGCGAATGTACATTCGAAGTCACCTCATTTTCCATATATGAAACATCTGAAAAAGACCGCATTGAATGCTGGTGGACCATGTCCTTTTAAAACAGGGAAAGCCCGCTTAAACTTATTATATTCATCTTTGATTGACAGTCAGGCAGTGTATCCAAATGAATCAAACTAAAATATATGCAGAATTTAGTAAACGACATTCGTCCACTACATTTCTACTTATCTATGCAGTTGGAGYATCGCAATATAATTGTTGCTCATATATGCTTGCATTGTTCAACAGYAAGGCAGAGTATCCAGTTGATGGCAATTGGCACCATACTTGTTTGACATGGGGGAACACACTTGGGGAGTGGAAAATATACATCGACGGCGTTATGAAAAAACARGGCATWAAAGGCCCAGGTAGGGTTATTGGCAAGGGGGCTCTTGTACTTGGTCAGGAYCAAGACTCATACAAAGGAGRCTWTGMATTACATCAARGSTACCAAGGCAACTTGACCAACGTAAACCTRTGGAACAGGGTCCTCACAGCACAAGAGGTGTCTGACTTATCTCTATTATGCTCCGCTGGAGAAGGGAATGTTATCAAGTGGTCATGGTTCGCAACAAGAGGAGAAGGGAATATCCAAGTATCATGTTCCAACGCTTGTCTCGGAGGTCTGGCTAGTAGCTTACCGTAGCTGCACCAGGCACCCTGTATCAACTTGAACGAGCTCCTCAGGCACGAGAGGTTCGTGACTACAGGGACACTGTCTATACGTTTACGAAACCACATATTATTCAATTAAAACAATTCAACTTGTAATTTACACCAAAAGAATAAGTCAATGCGTCCAGAGAAACAAGGAAGACATCAACATAGTAGAGTGAAAACACTTTTAAAAAGCTTGGAACACTTTGCACTATTTTGTGGTGAATATCGTTTATTAACTAAAAACAATTGAAGTACTATACAATTGAAGTGATCACACTTTAAACCGTGCAACTGTAAAAAAATCTAAGTAGTACTAATTTGTGCGTAGATAAATAGTGTGCTATTTAGTTGTATTTAGTAAATCGTGTATGCGGCACGCAAATTAATTGAATTGATACAAATGAAGCATTCAATACAGTCTTGCTTCAAGTCCACTTTTAGTACAGATTAATACTACTTAGATTTTGTACAGTTGCACGGTTTTTAAAAGTGCGATCACTCTGCCGTATACACACTATGCCAAATAAAACTAAATAGCACTATTTAGTTTGGTACAGTTGCACGGTTTAAGTGCGATCACTCTAGCTTGAGCGGTGTCCGTGTGGAACAGCTTTAGCTTTTGTGTGAAATATAACGTCTATATCACACCGGAATTAAACATGTCATGGACYTYGTCTCAATCAAGAAAAGCAACCTTTAGTAACTAAATGCCGCGAGTAACAATAAACAAAACAGTTAGAAAATTGATAACAAAATCCAARTCATTATCGAGCTGAAAAGGCTTGCCCATACGTTTAAATAAAGTACAGATTCTTGCCAAAGAAATCTTCATTATTGATAATGTTTGTCGGTAAATATTAAAGAGACTTGGAAATGGTGCGCAGTTATATACTGTCGAAAAAGTTTAAATAAAATGTATAAATATTCGCACAAAACAGTGCTTTTTTTTTAATTTAATCTAATAAATGTTGCTTAGCTTTCTTTTTCAATGTGACGTTTTAATGGTGGAGAGTACGACAACCTGGAATTCAACGTGATGGTTTAATTTTTTGTATTGCAACAAATTCTTCAAAGTCAACTGAAGAGGTTTAATTAACTAAGTAAACGAAGCTAGTTTTGACAGAAAATTGCTTGTTAGTGCATGAAAGAAGAGTATTATCTTATTTATAATATAGTGAAAAAAATTGTTCAATTTGATTGGCTTAGAGGAGTGCTATATTCATCCTTAATAGTGGCATTTCAAATTGCACAATATTTTATTCAACCATTTTATAAACAAATAAAAGCATGTTTTGTACATGAAATTTGGGATAATAAATACCACTTGCGATAATTCAAAATGGTCATAAATTTTGGTATGGATGGACTCCCACACAATTTGAAAACAAAAGATGTTAGGCTTATGAATTAGAAGGGATCATTCAATTATTAAAACGTCTTTTGTGCGTGATGGAACAACATAGCTTTAAATGTAAACAAGGCGTAACAGTTGGGACTAACGAAAAGCTTATATGACATTCAAGGTAAGGCAAACAAATAAAAAAGTAATTTTGAAAGCTTATCTTCCAAAAAAAGTATATGTGGTGACTGATAAGTGATGAATATGTATTTATAAAGAAAGAAATACAATTTTTGAACAACAAGCACAGGCATTCACATGGGACCACCAGCAATAATATGAAACATTATCTCACAAAGCTAAGCTTTTAAAGAAATTGCCGGATGCTGCCGGTACGACACTTTGTTTCCTTTTAAGTCTRTATTAGATACGTCTTTTTCTGAAATAAATAGTGATTTTGTGAACCAGTAATTATCAGCTTGTAATTGTTGAAGTAACAATTTATAAGAACAAAAGCGTGCAGCAACAACTTTTATGTGCCCTCTAAAATGAAATGTTACATCAATACATCTATAGCTGTCGATGAATCAAGCTTTGATTGTATGTGTTAAATATATACATATATAGCTGTACGGCGACGARTCAATTAAGGGATTATAAATTATACATATAGTATCTAAATACTAAATAAAATGGAAATGGGAGGCTTATGTATTGCAACGAAAATATATTGTTAAAATTGTTCGTGGTTATGAGTGGCAATATCAGCTTTCTTCTTAAACATTCTTAATCCAAATCGGGTAAAATTATTGCCACAGACTTCGTCCTGACATTCTGACAATATTAAAAGTTGWTGGGTTTTCGTGAGCGATCCCACGACATCCTACGATGTTTTTAAAATGATGAACTGAATCTTTTATCAATATTTTCTCATTAAAAGCCGTTGCACTATTGTGGAATTAATCAATCACTGGAAAAAATCGCGCGCTTTGAAGGTTGTAAATTTGATGTATATATGATGTAAGTRTCCAAAATGATGTAAATTTGATGTAAATCMTTTCCATCAAATTTACATCATTTTGGACACATACATCATATTTCCATCAAATTTACAACCTTAATGRCGCGCGATTTTTTCCAGTGAATTCGAGAGACTTCGAAGAAATTAAAGAGCGCTTGTACAACCTATTCCAAACTTAATACCTCAAATAATGTCGAATCGAAATTAATAAAATCAATAAAGACCAATCCAAATTAAGATTCCTTTTCTTTTCTTTTTCTCTCTTTTTCTTTTCCTTTTTCTTTCTCTTTTTGTTTGTTTGATTTTTATTGTTGTTATTTTGAAGATTTATTACAGTTCTTTTTTATGATTTATTAATATCATAATTATTTTTCTTTGATWATTATAAACATCTCTATTTATTAACAAATGTTCCTTTTCTCTATAACAGATAAAATGGCACTGGTACTACTCCATGTAGTTGCCTTACTCCTATTCTTTAAAATGTCTACTGCTGAAGAAGGCACCTGTTCACCCTCTTCGTACTCTCAAAGTGGTTTCCAATTACAAGGCCACGCAATCAAGAAGCTCTCAACAACATCCRCAAGAGTCTGTATGCAAGAATGTGAATTACACAACCAATGTTACAGCATCAATTATAACAACTGTAAAGGAATCTGTGAGCTTAACGACGCAAATCACTTGACAAACCCCAAAAGTTTGACCTTCTCGGAGAGATAGAATTACAAAACCAACCCAACTCGCTCTCCTTCAAATTGCAGCATCACATACTGCAGCCGAAAAACTGACAAGTGTTTGATTGAAAGAAATGGGCAGGACTACAAATGTCTATCGTGTAAAGGTGAGAATCATTCAAGGTCTAGCTTTGACTGGTAGAGTCAACTTGAATTGTCTTGTATAAAGGCGACAATTACTAAGGCCTGCCGCCTTTGCTCTCCTATTCCTCGCACGGTTTTCACTCAGAAAAGAAATTTCCCCTTTACTGAAATTACCAAAAAACAACAACAATTTAATAAGAMCACACTAAATAAAATTACAGGTGAATCAGCTCTCGCAGTAAGTATGGGACTATTCGGCGATAAGRCGATAAGAAAAAAAGAAGAAAACTTGTTACATTTTACATAACTAGTATAAAAATATCAAACGTTCATAGGTTTACAAGAAAAATAGGGGGCGATAAGAGGAAAAGTATGTATGATGAGAAAATTATTCCAATAAATATTAAGACAAGGATAAAATGATGGCAGAGGTTTTCTTCTGTATAAAGCCTTCAGCTCGTTAATAATCTGGTCAATTATATTAAAATTTTGTTCTTATCGTCCTCTGACATCAATTCTTATCAATTTCAACCCAACAGATGRWGGGGGACAGGAAATTATGACATTTCCCACAGCAAGTTTACAAAATAAAGTTGTTCTAGAGCACAGGTTCGAATCCTTGAACGCCTTTACAGTATGCTCRTGGAACCAACCAACTTCAAAAACCTATCARACACTCTTCAGCTATGCCACCTCTAGCCATSMMAACGAAATATTTGTATTTCTSCAACGRTTTTTRATTGCTGGAACATATCTCCGCATCTACCWAAGGWYAATATCTACYGTTKGGTAAGCGAACRCWAGACAATAATAATCATTCTMGAACTCATTAATAATTCATGAGCTATTAGTCCAATGAGCATCGAACTATTGGGTCACATGATGRGCCTTTATATCCCGATAAAGCACTGATGTTTTATTAATCAGTGCTATATAAGATATATAGAACTGATGTTTTATTAAGTAACAATGCGCTTAAGAAGTAGGGATCTCTCTACTGTTCTGCGGCAATTGCAACTTTCCCACATACGAATGTCTTGATTTTCACACTGATTATATATCAACCTATGGGTAACACATTTTTGAAATAAAAGTTTTTTGAAATAAAAGTTTTTTTTGTATTAAAACCTCTTATCCAATCATAAGCACGTACTACTTAAAAGTAAAGTATTTAAATACAGGATCTGCTGTCTTAATACTTTTATTTACCTCACGTCCATTTGACAGCCATGCAAAATACCCGGTTGATGGTGACTGGCACCATTTTTGCTTCACATGGGGTAACGCCCTTGGCGAGTGGAAAATATACATCGATGGTGTCAAAAAAGCTGAAGGCAAAAGGTACGCAGGCAGAGTTATTGGCAAGGGGGCCGTCGTACTTGGTCAGGACCAAGACTCATACAAGGGAGGCTTTGAATTATCTCAAAGCTACCAGGGCAAGACGGCCAGCATGAACTTATGGAATAGGGTCCTCACAGCACAAGAGGTGACTGACTTATCCCAATCATGCTCCGTTGGAGAAGGGAATGTTATCAAGTGGTCAGACTTCACAGCTAAAGTAGAAGGGAATATC